TCGCCAGCTGTGAGCCAACGCAGTGAAGAAGACGTGAATATCGAATATCTGCGGAACGTCATCTTACAGTTCCTGGAGCACAAAGAGATGCGGGTATGTCGCCGATATTGTGAACTTTTGGTCGAGTCTGATCTAGACCTGCAGCCGAATCTCGTGCGGGTACTCTCAACTATCCTTCGTTTCACGCCGCAGGAAACGCGTAGACTAATAGCCAAAGTTTGAATGCAGAGGCTGCATGTACATAATCTTGCATCGAGGAACCGAGGCGCTTTCAGCCGGACCACATTCATCGAGTTGCAGTATATGACTGAACGCACTTGATTGCAGCAACGACTCGAGCGGATACAAGAAATGATAGAGCAATAAGAATAGTAGCAAAGACAATCACATCATCTGCCTCTCGTAGGGGTCTCGCGATCGGGCTTGAAGCATAGACGTGCGAGGAGAACGGACTCCCACTCCTTCTCGTCGTGTTCGTGCCACATCGAGACTTTCCAGTTCGCGTCTGTCGGGAACGTCTCGTCGAGCTGGTAAGACGGGCCTGCTGCATCAGGCTCTGGTTCCAGACCTGGCGCAAACTCTGCCCAAGGCTTGCCAACTTGGCGGGTATCGTACGGGTATGGTGTGAGACGCATAGTCAGGTCGGTAGCGCAGTGGCAGACGTATGCCGCCCAATGAGCGGCGTCGAGTGTGCCGATAACTGACAGTGCGAGGTCAGACCCAGGAGTAGTCGGGCAGAGAAAACACATCCTTACCGAGGAAAATATCTTCACGCTGAAGCTTGAACATACGTCCATACAGGTGCAGTATCAAGTCGATGTTGTCCGAGAACCAGGGCTTGGCAGTATCGAGCGCTTCAAGATACTGATAATGCGTCGATTCGGTGAACAAGAACGCCTCCTTGTGACCGAAATGCAGCTTGAACGTGACGTCCTCCTCTTTCGGCGATTCTGGCGGCGGGCTCTTGGGGGCCAACAGTCGAGGGATGCGGGCCCTCAGACTCGAGCTGCGCGGACGCACTGCTACTGGAGGGTCGCGTTTGTCTAGACGGCGCCCGCGAGTTGCGACGAGAGGGGGGAACATTACGGCGCCGTGCGATTCCGGAGGGCCGAAAGCATTGAAAAGCCTGACAAACGTGCCGTTTTTGCCTCTGTCCATGAAGCCGACGTCGCCAACCTCGACCTTCGTGGGCTTCCAAAGGGGCAACGTCACTTCATGATATGGATTAGCATGGCCCAGAAGGAGAGGACGAGCGCTTCTGCGCACGTACGAGACTCGTTATATCTGTGCTGCAGGCGCGTTCGATACCGCCGTTCGTCGCGTCTGTACGAAGCAAGCTCGTCTACGGGTGGTGGGGATGGGCGACGGTTCGTATAGTAATCAGAGATCTCCGTATCGGACGTCGTATCGGATTCCAGCGTTCCTCCTTCCCCGCTCTCACTTGACGAGATGTTGCGCGAGAAAGAAGTATAGTACGATTCATCGCTGATGCTGGCAGACATATACGAGCCTGCCGGTAAACGGGAGTTAGAAGGGGGCTTCCATGACTTGAGAAACTACGGACAAACCTGATTCGTCTGGGAGGTCGAGCCCTGGCTGAAGGGGAGGCGAGAACATCGATTCGGCGAGGTTGTGAGCAGTTGGCGGCTTGGGTGAATCCTTCTCGTAATCCGCGTCCCACCCAGGTTCCAGCCCGCGCAACATCTCAAAGACAACAGCAATCGCACTGAACGCTGGGCGCTGCTGAGGATCTTTGGTCCACCACGAAGCGATATACGGAGCGAGCAGCTCTGCTACAGGCGTGTCTGGCAAGGTCGGGCGTCGACCTTGAGCTATGATTCCGAGTCAGGACCTCCACAATGTATGTCAAGGTGGATGTCGACACACCAACGAAGTGAGGGATCATCGCGTCTTCGGCTCTTGGCCAAGGCAGATCACCGTTCTTCATGATCTACACAGTGTCACTGTCAGAAGTGCGCCTTGCAACACTCAGAACACACCTCGTGGCAGCAAATTGCGAAAGCATACACGTCCACCGCGGTGGTGAGGACTCCTTCGCCGAAAATGATCTCAGGCGCTGACCATCGCACTGTACCATCTGTGACCACGGCACGTTATCAGCAACGAAATATAGGCGGACAGCGCAGACATGACACTTACGAGGGACTGACCGGCCACTTAATCGATACACTTCGTCGCGGATATCGGACTGGCCGAAATCGGCGATAACGCATTGATGTTGGTCGTCGACAAGGACGTTCGCAGCTTTCATGTCGCCGTGTATAACTGCAACGAACATTTAGACCGGAGGTAATGGGGTAGAGATAGCGCGTTACCTTGTCGCGAGTGCAGGTACGCCATCCCCATCGCGATCTCGTGCATGAGCCTCAGATGCTCGGCAGAGTCTGGGTTACGACGGAGATACTGAGGGAGATTGCCGTTTGCCATGTACGGCGACACGCAGAAGAAGGGAGCTCCAGCGGCAGGAGAAGAGGCGGCCCATAACGGGAGAACGTGACGATGCTTGAGCAGTCGCCTATGGCATCGAAATAGGTTAGGAAGGGGAGATATGGCAACTGCTGAATACGACGAACCAAATCTCCACCTCGCGCCTGAAGCTCGTCTGCGGCGTCATCGGCGCAAGAACCTTGATTGCGATCGTCTCGTTGCGCCACGTCCCCCTGTAGGTCGTAATCGTTTAGACAAGTAACGCAGAGGAGATGCGAAAGTAACTGACTTGAAAACATGCCCGAAGCTCCCGTAGCCGATCACCTCGTTGTCGCGGTCGAATTCGTACTTGGTGATTGTATACGCGGGCACGGCGCGGTAATCGCTGAGCCGGTGCAGCGCGTCGACGCTCAACTCCAAGAACTCCCTGTGAAACTGACCCGCCTCGTCCGCCTGCAGGGAGGCCGGGTCGGACGAGATGTCCTCGAGCGCGCGACGCAGCGCAAACTGCGCCTCAGGGAGCTCGCGCTGAGGGATTTGCAGGAGGTCAAAAACTGCTGCGTCCGAGCCGTCGCGTACGGCAGCGCCGATGCGGTCGAGCATGTCGCGCTGGTCGAGAATCGCGTGGATCTTAGCGCGTGCACTGTCCATCTCCCGAAGCTGCTCTGCGAGGGTCGAGGGCTCAGGCGCAGACGGTGGGTCATAGACAGACGTGAAAGCAGGTAACTGGGATGAGGGAGCGCGGGGTGTCGTGGGACTGTGAGGCTGAGGAGTGAGCGTCACGGACGACGAGGACATTGGAGTTTGAGAGAGTGTAAGTCCCACAGCAAGAACAGATCCCGATGGCGGTGTCGCAGACATCGGCGTAGAGGGGACAGCAGGTGAGGCGACTTGAGGTGTATGTGAAGGGTTCCGTGCAGCAGCCTCTTCGAGCCTCGCAACACTTTCTTGAAGGGCCTCGACACTCTTGAGGACGCGCAGCAGAACAGTGATCTATATGCAGCATGAGACGAAGACTGGAGTAACGATGATAGTGCAAAGCCACGAACGTCGAACTTGCACAATGCCGCAGTGAGAGATTTCTCGCATGCCTCAATCTTCTTCTGGTCGTCATCGCGCTTGATGTAACGCTTCAAGAAGGGGCGGTGTGCTTGCTTCTCGATAAGGATGAAAAGATCACCAAACGAACTGCAGGCAATACGTGAGACGCGGGCAAGCATTGGACGTGGTAGCGCACCACTCGAGATCGTCAAGTGACCCTCTGAGTGAGATGATGAATTGAGGGCCTCCCTTGTGAATTTCGCTGCAAATTGCATCTAGAATTTCGGCAGCTCGCTCTGTGAGGCGAAGACACGCGAGTCGGTTGGTCTACGACGCGTCAGGGATGCACACGATGTCTAGGCAGTGCACTTACCTCGAGATCCTCTGCCGCTTCCCAAATCTTGAGGAGAATATTGGCGACCTTTGCGACGGCCGGGATCGGGACATACTCTAGCACATCTGCGCTAACTTCGAGCACATCGCGCGCGATGGTGCCCACGGTTTGGAGCACTTCTTTGCCCGTGGCCTTGCCGGCTCCCTTTGCGGCCTTCTTCTCCGCCATCTTGAGGCCCGCTTTGGCGGTGGCGTTGGCGACAGCGCGTTTCGTGCGCTCATATGCCTCTAGGAAGGAAATGGGTCAGCTAGCGGGCTCGTCTACGCGTCGTCAGACCAGGGAACGCACGCGTCTGTTGGATCGGGATGGTCCGCCTGCGCTTGGGCACGAGCTCTTCCCAGGGGCGCGGCTCGCCAGGGAGCGGCTGCCACCACTGGGTCTCGAGCTCTGCTACGTCCAGCATTAGCGTCGGCGACGCGCTACGCGTTGATCAGGTTCAGGAGCTCGATGGCGTTGCGCAGAGCGGCGACCCTGTTCAAGACGGGGGGATCGAAGGAGCAGAACGTAGAGGCCAAGAGCGGCGCTGGGGCTTTATACCAGGCGGAAGAGCTGCACGGGATTCCAAATGGAGAGCTTCCGTCCCGCGAAGCATGATGTGGCGACTCGACGCGGCGTACATGCTGTCACTGTCAGCGGACGAGCACAGTTCCGCGAATCGCAATTCCGATGCCGCTCCGCCCGGTCCCCTTTACCCCTAAAACTCAAATTATAGGAACCCGGCATCTCAATATCTCAATGCTCGTATACCCGCCGCTCTGGCGAATGGGAGCTTCGGACTCCGGAGTTCGGGAGACTCTTGCCTGGTGACCAGTGTCGTCCGAGTCACCCAGTCTCACTTCCTACAGTGCAATCTACATTGCGTACCACGAGGTCCTGGACTCATCTTACAGGGCTGACCAAGTTACCGAGGTCACCGGAATGCAGGAGGTTGTGGCGGGAGGTCCATGGCGGCAGGCGGCCATCCCCAGAGACTACTCTATATCAGTCACTGACGCATGGCAGCTCCCTGAGCCGAGGTGCAACCATACGATCAACATCGTATGAGATGCAGGTTTACACAAGTTCAACCTTTCCTGTCTCATTGGAATCTATAACAAAAAATGTAAGCGCTCTCACAGGGCGTATAGCGCAGTTGGTAGCGCGCCTGTTTAGCATATAGCATACAGGAGGTCTCCGGTTCAAATCCGGATTCGTCCATTCCCTTTTGCGTTTTACGCGACTCCTATGCCCGCAAATTGGTGAGTTGTGAAGATTTTTCACGAATTCTGCGCGAAATTCCATGTTCCGTAGCATATCGGTGATAGCCGGAGTAGACTGCGTCGGGGTCAACCTTGTTCACAATGCGAGAAGAGTCCGTGGAATCAAGGGAGGAATAGATCGATATTGAGCAGCAAGTATAGACATGCAAGGCCTTCCGGGACAGGCTTGTGGAAAGATTGGCGATTGTACATACCTGAGAGCGCCGCCGTTTGCACGTGTTCCACACGTTGGTTCTGTGGTTGTGAGATGAGCACGCAAACCAGCGTACAGTCGGACCAGCCACGTCTCGGTACCAGCCGTTGGCTCACAACCTCGACGGGATAATAGACCCAGCTAGGAACTTCCCCTTTCGCCCAAAGTGCATATTTGAGCTCCTCTTGGGCCCAAGAGACTACGTTGTGCTCCGCTTGAGTACTGCTTCAGTTTTCATTTTTTGGGCATTTCAAAATTGAGACTCTGCTCCCGAAGCGCCTAGATTTGCTTCCGGAATTGATCCCGAGGCTCGGGACAGCTCTAGAAAAATGAACACATCATTCTCGACGTCTCTGAGGCCTTATACGCACTCTAGAAGTCATACACAGTCATAGGTTTCTCACCATTTGCCTCCGGTAAGCTGTCAAACTTCCGCTTCCGCCGCGCTGTCACCGACCGTCTCTTCCGACGTACATAGAAAAACCAACTCCTCAGAGCATTACAATGCCTTTGGAGTAATTATTACAGCTGAGGACTCCGGAGCCAAATTCATGTCAAAGCGGAAAAAAAACGACTTACTTCCTGACCGTGTTTTTCGACGTTTCCGTGCATTTGAGCAAGTCGAAGTTTCTGGGAGAAATTGAGACTTATTGCTCCCGAGATCAATTTTATTTCTGGGGTCCTATGGACCATATACATGTGCTAGTATGCATACAACGTAGCGGAAGTGCCTTGTTATGGCTACGGAGGCATTTTTGAACGCTACCGAGACGTGGCCGGTCCGACTGTACAGTCTGAGGAACGGCGTGTAGGATACGTACAGCTCCATCTTAGTCGAGGGCGCTTGGTTGCGGTGCGTCAACTTGATACGGTTCGCCGTCGTTGTCGACGCCTAATACGGTAATGCCCGCCAGCGAAGCCAGGTCATTACCGTATGTCACGTCTGCGTCCCGTAGACTAGTCGACGCCAACACTGCTGTTGTGATGTAGGGCGGCCTGAAGGACGTCAGGCGCGCGTCTGAATAGTATCTGATATGGAACTGTTGAGGACGAGTGCGTGCTAAGGTGAGGTCGAGAAACCGGCGGAAGGAGCCGGCGGTTGCATATATCCGTACCAAACGGCCGTGTCATGCATACGTGGTTCAAATATCATGACTGCTACTTGTTTAGATTCAAAACTGGCGCGTTTACGATGCGCATGTACTCTCAGACTCAACAGTTAAAAGCAAGAGCGTCGCAGAGCGAAGCGGCGCACGGATTGGTGGACTAGTTCACCAGGATCCACAATAATTCAAACACCTGTAGCTGGATAGCCACTAGGTAGTCTGTGGGATTATGATAGTGAGACTGACGGTGAACGGAAAGGTCGTTGCGGCAGAAGTGAATGTCTCCCCTGCACCGCTTCCCCATCAGGATTAGTACCTGGCCAATTATAGGAGGCACCGAGGCACTTGCCTGAGAAACTGGGATGATGATCACTTAGGAACAGGTGTTCGTACTTGACCGAAACAACGCACCTGTTGATGCCAGTGGCCCCACAGCGGCACGCCGGACTCCATCGGACATCCGATCCTCGTATAAACTGACAAGTCCAAGGTAGTTACGAATATGACGCTCCCGATTGGGTTTCCCGTCGTATACAAGAACGGAGAAGGCGCTGTGTACGTTACGCACCGCGTGTCGTTTACGGGTATGTACTTGGTAGCCTGTGCGGTCAGATACCCCTTGTAAACACGGTGACGCATTGTGGACAGGGTACAGCGCAGAGATTCGAAATGGAGCTCAGTCTGTACCTACGCCGATGTAAACAGGATGTTTTGAGCATGATGGGGTCCTTGTCACTCTGGAACGCCGTGTGCAGGGAGCGTGGATCGCCATCAGTCGTGCGCCAGAAGAGCGGCCGCGGGAAACATATGAATTGCCATTCGCGCGCGCGGAAATGTTCTGTTGCGGAAAGACGGACTTGAGGAAATTCTCGACTAGTAAGGGACGGACGGAGCGGCCGAGGATTGCCCGGTGGTCTTTTGGCGAAGAAATGGATTGAGAAGGGGTTGGAGCGGGTTCGAGAACGTGCGCCGTGTAGCTGGAGCATGGCTGGAAGTGATGGAAGACCGTCTAGATGCGCCGACGGGACTTGGACGAAACAAAGTGCGCACGGCCGGTTCGCTCCGTCTCTTGCTTCCTTCCACGCACCTGCTCACAAGACCCCGTTCCCGCCGCCCGCCAGCACGACCAGCTCACGGACTACGGCGACCAGCAGCATGGACAGCGCGTCGACGAGCAAGCCGCTGCTGAAATGGCCCTGGAAGAAAGGCACGGCCGTTTCGGCCCCAAACCAGCAGCATCAAATGAAGTAGTCAGTGCCCCCGTTACAACCTGCTCGTCGCCGCCCCCGCTGATGAACGATGCAGTCTCGGCGGCGCCGTCGTGCCCCCGCGAGAGCCGCGCCCGCGTCCATCGCGTGAGAAGGTTGGCCGGCCGCTCAGCATGGTGCTCCCGTGAGTGCCCACGCGCCCCAGCGCGCCTACAGCTCCCATTTTGCGTGGCTCACCCGTTTCGCTCGCCACCCAGCGCGCCGCTCCTGGTTCCGCCAACCTCGCCGCTTCCCCGGCTTCCCATCGAGCTCTGGGAATGCGTATTCAGTCTCGCGACCGAGGAACATATCCTCAAGGCCTTCTTTTCCACGCCCACCGACGCGCCTTTCACCGCCCCGCGCGTCTCGGACTTCATGCTCGAATATGTCTATCTCCAGTCGGCGGCCACCATGCGCTCCTGTGCGCTCGTCAACCGCGAATGGTCCGACCGCGCCGTCCAGTACCTATACAGGTACATCTGGCTCCGTTCTGCAAGCGACGCCGAACTTCTGGCGCGCACCCTCGCACCATCCTTCCGCCGCTCGAACCGCATCATTCGTCTTCAGCACCTCGTACAGAATGTCTTGGTGCGCTTCCCCAAAGAGCGCGTCGACGACAGTCCTCCTACGCGCTCGTACGGCAAAAAACTCGCCGCCGTCCTCCGCAATACACCGAACCTCTCCGTGTTCCTCCATAGCGACACGCAGGATGCGAGCGTCCCGCGCAAGGCGTCACGAGCACTCGCTGCCGTCGCCTCGCTTTGGCGCGCTGAATGGACCACCACCGCCCACAGCGCCATCATCACGTCTTCGTCCTCGCTTCGCGACCTGCGTTCGTTGACACTGCAGTGTCCCGGCATGCCCAGTCACCCCGACCTCACGCCGCCCGTCGAGCTCGAGCTTCCGCACCTGCACACCCTCTCCATCGCCTTCTGCAGACACCAAGCGCTCTCAGCGGCCGGCAAGTGGCGCATGCCGGCTTTGCGCCACCTGTCGGTCTGCCGCTGTTCGGTGCTTGGCGCAGCCTTTGGACCCAAAGCTTCTGACCTGACCGCCCTCCTGATGCGCGTCGGACCGCGCCTCGACCAGCTCGACTTGAACTGCGCGATGGGCGGTGTCGCACTCGACCTCCGTTCGACGTGCCCGCGACTGCGTACACTACTCGTATCATCGCTTTCGTTGCCCGCCATTGTCGCGCACCCCTATCTCGAGCTTGTCGGGCTGCACCAGCCCATCGGCTTTGCACCCCCGCCAGCCGAGATGGATGCGCTCCTCACGTTGCTGTACTGTCTCCAGGAGAGTGCTATGTTCCCCCGTTTGCGGACAGTGCGCTACCTCATTCCCGCGCAGGCGGTGAAACGTCTCAGCCAGCACCCGGGCAGCGGACTCCGCTCAGCACTGGAGGCAATCAGCGTCGCGGGCATCATCGTCGAGGACGTCGGCCGCAACACCATCTCATTCGCGCGTCCGGGATTGCACCACCGGCCCAGCGAAGATTACTGGGACGTCACGAGCGCCGACGGCTAGATGCCTCGTTGCCTTGTCTTATACGCTGTTACTTATATCGCATTGACCTCCTCCCTCTCACCCACGCTCCCTCGCCTCCACATTGTGTCATCTCGACCCGTCTCGCCCCCATTACAGTCACCGTCGTCGCATCCACTCAGCATTGTGTCCGCTACAGGTTCTCCGTCTCGTGTGCATCGACCCTTTTTCTTGCTCCCGGTCTGGTCTCTCCACAACAAACCGCACTCATTTTTGCATCCATACGCACTCTCCCCCCAAAGCCTGTTCCATTTGTGTGTTTTTATCAATCTCTCCTGGGTTTTTGACAACAGGACGATCATCTTTCTTGCTCACCCCAAAACCTTCTTTGGAGTGAATTGGCCTTCGGAGTGAATTGCAACGTAATTCGCAAGCATGCCGCCGTGAAAATCTCATAAAGCGCACTGAGGAGCGAACGGAGACGAAGCAGTACGAGACGTATCCATTTTATCAACAGCCTAAAGACCTTCTCGAACGATACTCAAAATCTGAAAGGAGTGTAGGAGTGTGTATAGAGGAGACGAGGCATCCCAGACGCGCAAACAAAGAAGCCGAGCGAGCAAAGGAATAGTATGAGAGTCTCAAAGGATCGAGGGTGGCGAGCAGAAGACTACTAACAGCGAATGACGAGGAAACAAGAAACGCGGGTGAGGCTTTGGAACGACGCTCAGAAGTCGGCGTTGAGGCCCTGCGCGGCGAGGCGGCTCTCGAGGTTGCGGAGCGACTCCTCCTTGGCGAGGAGGGCCTCCCTCTTTTCCTGGATCTCGCGCGAGACCTTGAGCTCGATCTCGCGCAGCTTCTCCTCCTCGCGGCGCAGCTGCTCCTCCTTGAGACGCATGCCCTGGGA